AATGTTGATTCGTATGTGAAATGCACAGTTACATGGATTTTTTGATTTATGGTGCTGTAATTCTTGAACATTCTTTGCCACTAAGTTCAAAATTTTTGGTCTCCTTTCCAACTGAAATGGTTACTGTTTATATCAGTATGGAAATCATCCTACATCTGGATGTATTTTAATTGTTCAGTACTTCATTTTGCAACATAATTAAGTCTGAAGAATTCTGATATTTATTATTTAATTATCCAGGTTTTTCCTTTGAAGAGAAAATTTTAAAGCATTTCTATGTTTAACAACACTAGACACTCATTAAGATTGGAACTGTGAAACTACAAGAAGATGTGTAGAGTTTGAGGGAAATACTGGAGGGACATCCCATTTGAGGTGAGCTTGGGAAGCTTAAGAGTTCCTTTCTCCTGAGGCTTCTTCTCCAATTTGTTGAGAAACTAATCAAGGCAGGAGAGATCTGTCTGCTGACTAACCACAGATATGGCCCTTAGCATGAACAAACCAATTTCATTGATTGTGTTACAAAGCTTTCTTCAGTCAGTGGTTTATGGATATTGACAGCTTGTGTCTCCTGGAGATGCCACATGCAGGTGTTTCTGTAGCATTTGAGGCTACTTTCTTGTGCTCCAGAATCATTTTGCATCTGACAGACAAATGAATTTTACCCATGTTCTGTGGGGTGATCTCAGATTCACATTTAGATTGGCTAAAAGAGTATCTTTGAGATCAGGTCTGAACACTTGTTTTTGAGCATCAGTTGTCTTCTGTAGGACTAATTTTACAGTCAAAACTGTTCTTAGACTTTGGTTGGTTTAGGCTAAAGCCTTGGTAGCTTTTCCTAGCTGGCTAGGAAAATCTATCTGTGATGAGTTAGGAGTGTGGTTCTGGGTTTTGTGGGGTGAAGAATGTGGGGGTTTTATGATCTGGTTTCTTAATACCATTTTGGAGCAAACAAAAGCCTAACACCAACATCCTGGATCAGCATCATATTTTTATGAAAAATATTAAAATATCAAGATGAGATTCAAGTGTAAGTTTCCTAGCTGAGCCTTTTATTTCAAACTCAACATGTAGTGTACATAATATGTGAATATAAAAGGGGTTCTACTGGTTTAAATAAAATGCCAGTCTGTTGTATCAGCACATTCCTGACAGTAAGCAGTACTGCATCCATAGGGAAAAGTGCAAAACCAAGTCAAATGTGATGTTAATACTACTTAAATACCTGGCTGCGCACTGCTGTAACCTGACAGATTGAGCGTATTGTTTTCCCTCTTGATCATGGCTTAAATTTGTACATGATAACTTCTCACTTCTTATAGTTTCCTTTCCAGACTGATTTCCTAAAATTCTTTCATTTTGATCTTTCTATATATTGTTTTTTTTAATCACCATCTTATAGTAACTAAAGACTTTACTTTTTCTGTCAAAAAAAAACTAAAGGGCAACTGACTTCTTCATATTTTTGTAGTTCCTCTTTCAAATTTAACCTTAGTAACCTTAGTAAGTGTACTTCTCACTTTCCTTGTTCCTGCAGAGATAGTGTCTTGAAATACCCCTTGATTCATGAGCAGGCATGGGTAGCGTCTTCTCTTTAGTCCTCACGTAACACTCCCACTGAGTTTTCCAGTCTAAACTGGTTAAGCAAAGGATTCCTATAATCACTTCTAGAGGAGTTGTCAACCTAAATCATCTGTGGTTCTGCATTTAGCAGCTTTCCTTACTTCTCCAGTCTGTTAACCCTGACAAAGCCATTCTCAAGTGCTAGCAGCCTGCTTTCACTGCAAGTGGGATTAAAGCTGTCTTGTTTATAGAGGACCACTCTATTCCTAGAGTTTCGTCCTTTTTTCAGACTGTATTTTCTTGGTCATCCATTGCATTAAGGTACCTAAAGTACTTCAAAGTACCTAAATTGTGTGAGTTTCACATCTACGTTTTATTTAGCATAATAGACAGTACTATGTCATAGACTTCTTGTTTGTTATGAAAACATTTTTGGAGTAGAAATCATTCTTTGGACAAAAATGTCTTTACTTGATTTTAAAAGGCTATAAGTACATAAGTACAATATGAGAACGTTGTGGAAAACTATAGATACTCAAATCTTTCTCTTCATAAAAATCTGAACCAACCCCTGGAGCTATTCTAATGCTGTTTTGCAATGATGGAATGAAAAATTGTTTGGAATAGAAGTCCTTCATTTGCCTTTTTTTATTTTATTGTTGAGAGATAGTGGGTGTCATTTCCTATTTTAATAAATTTCTGGGTTTCACAATAAAAAGGTGTAATCCTTGCCCCGCAGTGTCTTCAAAGGCATTGTCTCCAGAGAAGTGGTTTCTACAGTAATACACAAATAAAGTGACCTTGGTATGTATTTTGATGTGCAGCTGTATGGGTTCTGTACGAGGGTGCACTGAGGAGCTCCAGCCAGACTGTGCTGATGTGATTTGTGTCAGGCCAGGCTGGAAACCACAGCTGGTTTGTGTTCCCTGTAGAGTATTACACCTCTTGTCCGGGGCAGAGAGTTGCTGCATCCTCTGCTTGTTGTCTGGCCTTGCCTCTGGATTTTATTTCTGCAGAAGAACTAGCAAAGCTGTTTTTAACCTGGGACTTTCCAAGATGTGTGGTTAAGGTGTGGCTGGAAGCAAATACAGCAGCAAAATTTTCATGGTGCCTTGAGCCTTCTCATTCATGTACAACCCACAGTGCTGCTCCTGGGACCGGTGGCTGTGGGGTGGGATTCTGTCACTTGTTTAGTGGACTAGACCTTTGTACCAGGCTTCAGTCACCATTCCAGCTGCTTATGAAACTAAATCAGGAAGAGGTTAAAGCTGTTTTTTTTTCCGAATAGGTTTGTATCAAAGACTTCAGCATGTGGTAGAGGTTTTAGAACTGGGCCAGGAATAAAACTGTGGGCATCTCTTCTGCATGCAGGTGTTGCGCTCTGCTGAATATTAGAACAAGAGCATTTGTTTAAGAAGGGTTTTGCAGAAAACTTCCATGTGAAAGCTGTCATTTTTCAATAACATTTTGAAAACTGTTGTCATGGAAAACAGAAAATGAACTTCACTGGTTGTGAAAACTTTCTCAAGCATGGAGTTTTTTTTAATAAGTTTTTTAGGTTTTGTTGAAAAGTTTTAGTTGACTTTATTCCATTTTTCTCACAGTTCATTAAGAATGCCACTCCTTCAACCTAGGAATGTATTTTTCTGCCTCTTGCAGGTAGAGATTGCAGAATTCTGCATCAGCAGTGGATACCCTGATTTATAGGAAGACTTTGTGATACTTAAGCTTGAGAATGTTTTTTGGAAATAATGGAGTTACAGCCAGATAGCACACAAAGTTTCACATATTTTAGACTTCAAGAAGTAAAGTTATAGCTACTGCCAAAAGTAACTCCACAGGAAGATGGTGTTTCATTGTGCCAGTCCATTTTGTTTGCTGATCACCTGCAGCACACTCTGGAGGCCATTCCTTCTGCTCAGCACCCTGGTGTCCTGCACTCAGCCTGTTGCGTAGCAGCATCACAGGGTGTTCTCTGCACAGCTTCCCTCTACCCTTCTGTCCTGCAGCTCACACTGGTGTGAGCAGGGATCTTCCACAGGTCAGCCTTTATTCAAACTGGGTGTCTGCCAGGTGAGGTCCTGGCTTTCATTCCATCACTCCAACTGGGTGCTGTCTGCACCTCCTAAAGGCACATTCTGTCCTGTTTGCCAGGTTGGTAATGAAGAAGCTAAGCAATATTGATTCCACTGTTGGCCCTGGGAAATGCTGCTCATAGCTGGTTTGTCAGTTAAACTTCAGGTTGTTGAGCTCTCTTTGAACCTGACAATGACTTGGAGCCAATTTTCCAACCCTTTTCTAGACTTTTTGCAGAACTATTTGTTCCAGTGATAATTTGATGGGAGTTAAGCAGAAACATTTATTCCATATGAGTGTTAAAAACTGAGAACTAAATCCTGAAATAGCAAGGGATCTGTATTACTTCTCTGTTAAAAGAGTTTATTCAGCACTTCTGAGAAACCACATCCTTTTGAAATGTCTTGGGTTGGCAAGCAGAGTTCCTTTCATAAGACTAGGCAGTTGTTCTCAAGTAAATAACTCTTTCTTCCAAGGTAGTTTGGTAGACTTTCGATGGCACAGGTTTTGGTAGTTTAGCTGATAATTTCCAAGAATTTTGGGTCACATTTCATTTTTATTTTCTGGTTTTTTTCAAGGTTTCATATAGTCAGAGGTGTTGTGCATTTTGGTAATGCTCTGTTTTGTCATAATTCTTGCATGCAGATTTGCATAATGCAGTCATGCAGTGTCAGAATAACTCTAGCTCAAGAATTGTGTTTCCATGCTTAAAGATACCTCCTCTTTCTGCTTTTAGGCCATGCGAAATTGCATCTTGACTTTTATAGAGAAATACTTGTGGCATTGGGTTTTGCAACTTTATCCTCTTTTTAGTTAAGTTACTAATGTGTAGCTGGAGAATGTCAGTTACTATGTAAGGGTGCTTTGTGAGCTTGGTTTTAGCATTGGAGATACATGGTACAATGTATCAAACATTGTACCATATTTGGTACACGACAAACATCAAAATGTCAAACTGGAGAAATAACTTGGAGTTTTTACCTTGGTTTACTGTTGTGCCTGGAGTTGAAGGGGAAGAAAGCCAAGAATTGCACAAAGACTTGATAGAAGAGGGACAATCGTGATTGATATTCAGTGTCATTGTAACTGTAACTATGTAGTAGGAAATGTATTTTTGAATTCCTGTCACTCCTCTACTTTCTGTTGTAATTGCATATTGAGCAATAATCTTTTAGTATTTTAAGACTCTTTTGTGTATTAATTATATGCAGTAGCATCTGGTAAAACGGAATTATTTTACACTTCTTTCAACACCTTAATTTTTAGGAGCATGACAAGAATAACAGTGGGTACTTTTATCTCCTTTTACTGCAGGGAAAGTCTTGACTAAAAAAGGATTTTTTTTTTCTGTTTGCTTCTAGATCTTTCAAAGAACAGATTTACTGAAATTCCTCCTGATGTCTGGCTGTTTGCACCACTGGAAACTTTAAATTTGTATCACAACTGCATCAAATCCATTCCAGAATCTATTAAAAACCTGCAAATGCTTACCTACCTTAACATTAGGTGAGTAATGATGGTTGGTCTTGGTCTTTATTTAACTTATCTCTTTAGGGAATTGGTGTTTTGCTTCATCAGGTCATTGTGTTTGCAGAGTTTTCTTTGTTTCTGATGTTATGTTGACAGACAGTGTTCAGAAACTACAGCTATAAAAATTTGCTGCTATCAAGAGGCTAAATTAATGCCCAGAAAGTCCTGCTCATTTTGCACATTATTTGCATTCACTGCTGTACTGCTCTTTTTAAACTTGGAAAACATGTGGTTGGATTTTCTCACTAGAACAGAAGATGGATATGAGCTTTGGAAGGAGAGAGAATCTAGGAAGCTCTCCTGACCCTGCTTTCCACAGTACTCCTTGTTTCTGATATTGGCTGCATCAAATCCAAAACAGTTTTCTCAGTTAAGAGCTATTTAAATCCCCAAAACCTACTGTGTCTCAAAACCTGCAAGTATCAGTTCTTAGAGTACAAATACATAAGTAACGTGCTCTGTCACAATTTTAAAGGGGATTAATCTGATACAAAACCACAGGATTTTCTAAAAGAAATATGGCCAAACTTTCTTCAGCAACATCCCGTTTCTCTTTTGATGGTATTTGAGGTGCTGAATACATTTCTTTACCCAGAAATGCTGTGTAGTTCTAACTTCCTTCAAGAGCTGACTCTCCTGATGATCCTTTGCCAAACAGTGCTTTGTTCCCATTTCTGTGCTTCTGGCCAAGGACCAGTTTTGCAGTGCAGGAACGTGTGGGCTGTAGCACTGGAGAACAGGCAAAAATTCTGCCTTCCTAGCTCAGGTGCTTTGTTGCAGGAGAAAACCACATGGTCTCACATTCTAATTTGGGCTTCATACGGTGGAAGAAAGGTATTGCGCATTTCACAGTAAAGCAGGCAGCTCCTAAAAAACTCAAAACCCAGAAAAGCCAGAGGAAATCTGTGTAAGTGACATGACTGACTGCTTCATTCCCACGTTCTTATAGTCAGGTCAAAAAAAGTTTACTTGCATGTTATATTTTTGCTTCTCATGCCTTCAACCAAAAAAGCCTGGCATATCTGCTTGAAATGCAACATAAAAAGAGACTTTATGCATACCTGTATAAATAACTCACCTGTATTGTTCACTTAGAATTTAACAGAATGAATACATTGCTTTTATAAAGGTATTGTTTGAAATTTCCTTTCATTTCATGATGCAATGTTGCAGTTCTGTAAACTGTAATCATGGAGAAAATACTAAAAAAACCCCAAGATTTTTCGATTACAAAAACAATGCTCTGAATACATATCAGCTAGGCACTAAAACTTCTGCTATTTTTCTTAATGTAGTATGAACCCAAGTATCAGCACTTAAAAGTATATTTTTTTTTGCAGAAGTAGAGCTAGCTCTACCTAAATCAACAGCAATTACAGATTTTTATTATTTTACTTTTATATGTGACAGGAATTTTTTTTCTGTATCACATCTGAACAAGCTTGTTTTCCAATGACTTCGTAAAATGTACCTTATTAGAAACATATTATGTGCTTCTGGCAGTGGAAGTCCATCAATATCGGTAGTTTTTTCAGTATAGATTTAAACCCAGTAGTGGATAGCAGTGTATTTTCTGTGTATAAAGCAGGTATACGTGCATGCAGCTGGAAAATGGTATACAAAGAAGAAATACATTTTAATTAAGACTTACTTTCCAGCCTGTTGCTCAGCAAAACTATTAAATGTTTAGGGTCTTTTGTGGTGGCTCAGGAGGGACACAACAACATGGCATGATTGGCAATGGCCTTTATATAAAATTCTGGCTTGGTAGACTGTCAGATCAGGTGGTTCTTCTGAAGGTACCAGCAGGATAAAAGCAAGTGGCAAACATTATTTTTTTTAACAGATTTCTCTGAACATTTTGGTATTAGATTCTGTCCTGTGAAATGGGGATCTAAAATTCACGTACCTGAAATAGGCTGTGTATCTGATAAGGAATTTGTGATGGACAGTGTAGGTGAAGTTGTTACAGGCAGAGAAAGTCATCTGGGATGGGAGAAAAGTTACAATATTCATAAAAAAGGTATTATAATCCAGGTTTGCTTGTCCCTTTTTCTTGCTTTCAAGTCGAAATCTTTTGTCAACATTGCCAAAATACCTGTTTGATCTTCCACTGAAAGTTCTGGTTGTCAGTAATAACAAGCTGGTCTCCATTCCAGAAGAAATTGGGAAGTTGAGAGATCTAATGGAGTTGGTAAGTACAGCTGCAAATCTTTGTAGTAAGTTCTCTTACAAGCACTGTATATATATAACATATTCATTATATATTCAGTATAATAAATTATTAATATTTTTGAAATATAGAACTACAACATTTAAATTCAGTTTCTGTGTTTTATTGATATTTTTGGTTTATATTTCAAGTTTGTCAAACCCAGAATACATGCTTGATGATGATTAAGGACATAGTAGAGAGAGTTTTATTCCATACCTGTTTAGAATATAAGAAGGCTAGAAAGACTCTGTGTGATTGTTTAATCACTCTGGTCTACATAAATTAATATTAAATTAGTGTCAGAAATAGCTGTAGCCTGTGTTCACTTGATGCAGCTTTGTCACCCTCTAGTGCTTGTATTCAAAAAGCTGGTGAGCCTGCTATTGCTGTCTGTACATTTTTAGTTTTATGGGTTGGTTCAAGGTTTATTAAGGAAAAAGAATTTTTAGAAGAGGAGCAGGATGCCAGTCAATTGCCAGCAATAGCACAAGAAGTTTTTGACAGATCTGGGAACTACACCAGGAACTCCAGATTCCTAGGCTACAGTGTTCGTTTCAAATCCATTATTTCATCATTCATTGATTTAACTTCTTGAATTGAATTTCTGGAATCACTAAGTACTTCATAAACCAGCAAGATCTGTTATGGTACATCTTATCCATGGAAAAGCCAGGATAGTTAGATTTCTTTTCTTGGATTTCTTTTCCTTTAATAGTATGCTTTATAATAGTTTTGATCGCAGTATTCCTCTGTGTAATTTTATCTAAAATGTTCTAAGATGTTCATTTGATTTATTAATTATATCTTTCTTAGGATATTAGCTGTAATGAACTTCAAGTTCTTCCTCAGCAAATAGGAAAATTGCAATCACTTAGAGAATTGAACATAAGAAGAAATAATCTCCATATGTTGCCAGATGGTGAGCTACTCATCTTCTTTCCATTGATGTAGGCAAATTAGGTAACATGTTAAGAAGATAACTGATTCTTTTTTGTTGTTAATGTTCTTTGTTTTTTTTCCTGAATGCAGAATTAGGAGACCTTCCCTTGGTAAAGCTGGATTTTTCTTGTAATAAAATTACAGAAATTCCCATTTGTTACAGAAAGTTACGTCACTTACAAGTTATAGTTTTGGATAACAATCCAATGCAGATACCACCAGCACAGGTTAGTATTAAAGCACACAACTACAGAAATTGGCATTAAGATCTTAGAGGAAGCTGTTCTAAGTTATACCAATCAAGTTGGGGTTTTGTTTTTTGGGGTTTTTTTGCTTTTTTTAATCTGTATTTCTTGTATTTCTCCTTTTGAGATGTTGTGGCTGTAAATACAGTGCAGCATTTCTTGGGGTGTATTCTCAGCAGACATGCTGTGTAATTAAGGCTTCTTTTTGTTCCTGTTTCCCAACAGATATGTTTAAAGGGCAAAGTACATATATTTAAATTCCTCAGTATTCAGGCGTGCCTCAGAATAGACAAAAAACCAGATTCTTTGGATCTTCCATCATTAGGTAAACGAATCCCCTCCCAGCCACTCACAGACAGGTGAGTAGTAAGGTTTTTGAGTCTAGAGAGCATATTTTGAAAAGTATGTTTATTTTCTTACGGAAAGTGAAACTACTGTTTCTTTCATTCTTGTGTGGGTTGTGTCTTGTTTTGCCTTATGTAGCATGGAGGACTTTTATCCCAATAAAAACCATGGACCAGACTCTGGCATTGGAAGTGATAATGGGGATAAAAGGTTGTCCACTACAGAAGTAAGTATTTTTCTCACTGTTAAACTTGTAATTTCTGATTTTTTAGAACTTTTTCCTTTGTATTTTATATAATTTGAGAAGTATCCCAGTAAGTTGCATTTAATGGGTACAGTTGAGTTTAAACCCTTAGACTGCCATGTCAGACACAAATTATTTATATATTTCTTTAACTTTTCTGGTTAAGGTTGATTCTAATTAATATGATATGACAGGAATATAGGAAATCATACAATAATACCATTTGCATGTCAGTTCTGTACTAAATGTGAGTGTCTTTGCAGCCATCTGATGATGATACAATCAGCCTTCACTCTCAGATATCAGAATCAACAAGGGAACAGACATTAAGGAATGACAATCACATAGTGGGAAGTAAACTCGATCCACAGAAAGGTAATAGCAGCTGTGCATTTGTCATTTTAGGTAGCAGAGATACTTTGCATAGGTAATCTAATGTAAGAAAATGGCACAAAATTACAGGATTGTGTGTTGATATTGTATTTTCATCAGTTCAGAAAACAAGGTAATCACAAGCAGAAAAGGCTTGAGAGAAAAAAAACCCACTATTTCTAGCTTAATGCACAATTTCTATGTTTTATCTATCCGGCATGTTTCATAAGTACTTATTTATCTCAGGAATAACATTTGGTCAAGATAACTGTTTTAATGTCTTTCCTTTTCTTCGTAAATCATTCCTAGACCAGGAGGCGTTTGACTACATTGATCCAAACACAGAGGAGGGAGCTCTTCCTGACCAGGGAGATGCACAGATTGGGCCCCTACTCTCCTATGTCAAGGTACAGAGACTGACAAAAGAAAAACTGTTCAGTAGCCTTGATTTTTTTTCTTTTTTTTTACCCTTAATTAAATTCTAACTTCTTTTTTTTTTTTCTGTTTTGTTGAAGGAGCAGGGAAAACATCCTGAGAAATCCCAGAAAATAGAACAAAATGAGGACTGGGGAGATGAAAAAAGGTAGATCATCTTTGTATTTTTTGAGTAGGTTTTACTAGTAATGGCAGGGGTGATAGTGGGGTTTTTTAAGCTCCTTGCATATGAAGGAAATAATTCTTATATTGAACAGGGTGTTCCTCTTGGACAGAGAATAAGCTTATAGGAAGCACTGCTTAGTTACTGCCATAATGAGCCATTTCTGTGTCTTGCTTCACTGAAGTCAGGCAGGTCACTAATGTTTAATTTTTCAGACTTCAGAAAGAACAGCTGCTGGCTGAAGATGATGATGAACTCAAAGAAGTGACTGACTTAAGAAAAATAGCAGCTCAATTGTTGCAGCAAGAACAAAAACACAGGTATAACAATATTAGTTAAAATAACTTTTGTTACAATTAATTTATTCTTTAATGTCTCTTTTACCCAAAAGCTTTTGACATCTTATTCTGAGAACAGTTTTGTCCAGCTCCTAAAGTGACAGATTCTGTCAAGACACCTGTCCTTGTTTCTTGTCTGAATTACACAACCTCCCTACAGGTTGTTTGTGACTGGTTATTTTTATTAAAATACAAGCTAATTTAGGTGGCACTTCCTTCAGTCAATATCCTGTGGACTGAAGGGGAAATTGGTTTGAACATTATTTTGTCAAATGACAATATCTGTGTATAAAGATACATGATTTCAACTGCCTGCCTTTCTCTGCTTCATTATGGGCATCTCAACAGAAAAGTTCTTGTAAAGGAGCCATGGAAAAAGCAGCAGATTAAAGGAATGCAGTAGAACAAATTAGCAACTGTGTAAAATGAAGAACAGGAGGGAATATCTGGAGTCACATAGAAATGTCCAGGCTGGTGTAGGAGCAGTTTCTGTCCTCTTCCTTTACCAAGAAGGCAGATGCTGTAAGGTACTTCAAGACTAAGCTCCTCTGAGAGGTGAAAGTTGTATTTAATAGTACTTCATTAACTAAAATATTTCATACCATTCATTCAGTATCCCACAAAAATGGATGTAAGTTCATATCAGCTTAAATACTGTTTTCTTTTCTTTGAAATTTCTGTGTAATTGTAAGACTCTGATGCTTTGCTTTTAAGATGGTCGAAATACATATGAAGCGCTCAGAGAAACTGAGACCCCCAATATTATGAATTGCAGAGTCTTAAAAATTCACCAGCATTTTATATTAGGTAAATATAGTAACAGTAGTGTGCATGTGTGAAAGATAAAATAGGTTTTGCTTAGAACTCCAAGCCCTGCATTCAAGAATTGGTTGTTGTTCAGAAGAAGGGGAAAAATAAGAATGAAATCTTAATGCTAGTGTATTCTCAGTACCAAAAGTGCTGCAAATAAGGCCAAGAATGCATCATTTTCTCCTATTAGGGAAGAGAGAATGAGGGTGTTTTTCTTATATTAGGTTTTTATATGATGGCTATTTATGTTGCATGAGGCTCTTGTGTTACTGCGTATGTCCCTGTTATCTAATCATTTGAAATGCCAAGCCACTCCTCTTCTGAAGTACTGCAACTTGAATTTTGCTTATCATATGTTGGTGTGTCTTAATGCGGTCTTGCTAATTGTTCTGCTTTGTCTTGAATTACTCAGATGAGCAATCTTAATAGTTCTTAAGTTTTACATTTAGTTTAGCATTTATATTTTAAAGTTTGTTTTTGAATCTCTAGGAATTTTAGCTCAAAATCTCCTCTAATAGGAAATTTAGTCCTGATTTTGAATTCATGGGGTTTTTTAACTGGCAATAAGAATATTATTGAATTTAGAATAATAGAATTTAGTGAAGATACTTCTGTGCTTATTTGTGAAAAATATGATCAATCAGTGATCAGAATCTTCAGGAAAGTTAAGCATCACAAATTCCTTACTAATCACGTTTCTGTTTGTTCAGTCTATGTTTTTGTAGCATTATACAGTCTCCTTTCCTTTTGCTTGCTGTGCTAATGACCTCCCTGTCCTCTCCCATCAACCTATCCTGCTTCCTCCTTCCGTCTTTGGCTTTGGTGTGCATGAAATGTGAATACAGACGAAGGCCACTAAACTATAGAACTTCATTCAGTGAAAAGCTCTTCCAGAGGACCAGGGCGGCAGGACGTGCATCAAGGTATAAAGAGTTCAAATGTGGACAAAAGAAATGCTCTTGGCCATTTCTTGAACGAAAACAGAGTTAAAGGGGTTGGCTGAGTTAGCCTAAGATGTTTTGTTATCAAAATCAGTTTGCAGTGAAATATTAAGAAAAAACATTTAATTAGACAGTTATCCAAAGAACACTTTGAGTCCAAACATAAAACTTATTTTTCTTTAACTGTACAACCTCAGATATAGTACCTCAGGCAAAGTGGAGCATTTAGTTTATTGGGGTTTTGTTTGTTTGGTGTTTTTGTTACTTTGATAATTTGTTAATTGACAGATTTGACAATTTGTTTTGCATTTGACCCATGGTGGAAGTATTTGTAACGTGAACCACAACAGTAACATAAAATTGGAGTATAATGCAGACTATACTCAAGCATGTAGGTGTTGAATGAAGTGATTTCAGACTTTGTTACCTTATAAATTTAATCTCTGTAACTTGGTCTGGATATTCCTTGTCTTTTGAAAAAGACAGTAGAGTAGTTTAAATAATTTTCATTGGTTCCAAATAAGCCTGTTTGAATTTGTGTCAAAATTAAGTCTGGGTTCTTACCTGTCAGCAGTGATTTTCTAAAACTGTTTAAATCCAGAAGAGCACAGCTTCAGTCACAAAGCAGAGCCAGATGTGAAGTCAGTGGATTGCTCTGGAACAAGTTGAAAATAAATCATCTTTGTTTCACTGCACAGTCTTTTTTACCCTTTATAGATTCAAGGTCATACTTGCTTGTCTAAACTTGAAGCTAGCTAATCTTAAAATAACACTACCATTGTTCACTTCATTTGTGTCCATTAATCATTGCATGAAATCTGAAAGTATAAGTGGCTGAGAAGATATCCTGCTCTTTAAATCCTGGAACTTGAGAGAATATTTTCCAGTATCATTTTTGGTCTTGCCATTGCCTTTTTCTCTCATCTGGTCAAGCAGTTTGGAGTAGATGCTGTGCTTGCACTATATTGAAGTAGAATATATAAATATGTGGTGTTGAGTAATTTAGATTTTAAAAATAGTGTTGAGTTTTAGAACCCTTGCAGAGGATTAGTTTGTGTGCTACCTCTGTAACAACAGAATTGGTGTGATTTACAGGAATCATAAGTAGGAAATTAATTGCAGTTCTAGCACAGGCATGCTGTGCAAGTTCCTAGTTCACCAGTCAGATCATCAGTATCCGTCCCCATAATTGACCTGTGCAATAAAACTTTTGGCTTTAATGAGTGATAGTATGAATGGCAAGGGTTGCTGAAATTGTTGGACCATCAGCACCACACTTGAGTGTAACTTTTGAACTTGAGCTACTTCTACTTTTAAGTTACATACTCTGCTTTGAATTGTATTTTCTGGAAGACAGTAATTAACATGCCTGCAATGATCCCCCTAGATCCCCTTCCAGCTGAACAAATTATTTTGCCAATTGCCTGCAATTTAGTAAATTCAGATTAATTTTCTTCACTATTTTCCTTAGTTAAAAGCTTTCAAGGTCATTATTCCTCAGGAAATTGAGATTTCTATAACTGGGCTTGCAACATGTCAGATACTGAACTTGCTGTTACTTCCCCATCAATATTCTTCAGTTTTTAAACAGGAACTTTCAAAAATTACTGCTTTTGTTTTAGAAAGTATAAGAATATACTTTGTTCAGATAATTTTAGTTCACAAACTCAGTCATTAATTATACACTTTTTGCACAGAAATGGTGAAAAGTAGCTGAAAAGTGTGTATATATATATATATGTCAGAATTAGCTTGAATAGTTTTTCCTTGCATTTCATATAATAAGTATAAAAAAAGGAATAGCCTAGATTATATAAAATCACAGCATTTACACTACCAGTGTCAGTTTTAGTGCAATTGCTGCATCAAACTGACTCTAATTTTTTTTTTTTTTTTTTAACTTATAATCATTGCTTGCTACAAAGTCTCACTGAATTTCTTGTTGCTTTCAGTTGAAGGCAAAGGTAGTTTAAATAGGGATTCTCTATAAAAAGTAATGACTTTAAAATAGCATGTTTATATTCTGGATTGATAACTCATCCTCTTTTTTTGGCTAAACTTTTTTCAGGCTGTAGTATAAATTAATTCTGGAATGCACCCTCAAAACTTAGTTTCTGAACACAAAATATAGGAAGCAGATGCTATAGACTGAGTGCAGCAGACATTTACAGGCTTAACTTTTACAGGCTTAACTTTTGTGGACATTTACAGGTTTACAGGCTTAACTTCTCATAACTTTAATCCTGTTAAACTGGGGGTCACACAGCAAGAGGTTTATACTGCAAATGAGATTACTGAGCTCAAAGTTATCACAGTCATCAGAGAAGTTTGATTGAAAAATCATCAATCATTTAAAGTTAATGACTGCTGCGCTACGTAATGGTGAAGAAATATAAAAAGGGGCCTACTGATTTACTTTCTTCCATTGAATAGTTGGTTGTGTTCTGATTCTTAATACATTCTAGTTCTCAACATAATTCTATGTAAATACATGGACATCACACTTCTGCACATGAACTTTGTGTCAAAGTGTAATATTGCTACCTTCAAGAGTTCAGAATTTGTCACTTAAGTTCAAGGTGATGATTACTTGAAAACATTTTGTTTTAAGTGTTACCGATAATTTTGTTATTATTAACACTTAAAACATTCACAGTAGCTCCTATCATCTTCCTGTGCACATGCACACAGTATGTGCTTGCTCTAGATGAAAACACCATTCTGAATCTCTGTAAGTTTAGGCTTTTTTGGCTGTTTACCATTTAGAAAAATTGAATTTCCATTAAATTCTGTGTTAAATTTTTCGTTTAGTTCTTAGCCTGTTTCACAATTTTCCACCTTACCTTATTACCTACATTTCCTTTGCACTTGCAGTGTTTCTTTCTCAGTCACCTTCTCATCTGCCCCTCCTGACTGACTTTTTTGTGCTCAGTCTGTCTCAATCCTTTCTGGGCTGCTTTAGGTAGATCATCTTTTGTATTCTAATTTTAGTGAACAATGGGATCTTTTGTGTTGAGAGCAGCATGACTTTACACAGGTGTAAGATCAGTTGAAATAGTACCTATTTAGGAAGAAAAATAAGAAGAGATTTCATTTTGGTTTGAATTACCATGAAGTTTTGCTTCCTTAAGATAAGGAACTTGAAATACTTCAAGAGCTGGAAATTATACTCTTAATTCAGATGGAAGCAGGAATGGGCTTGGATTTTGTGTGTACACACACATTTTAGTTTTATGGAGGATGCCACTTAATGTTCAAAACTTTTTCATTTACAGGAAATGTGATGCACTGAAAGTAACATATTCTAAGAAAATTGTTTTAAATATGGTTTTTTGTTTTTTTTTTTCTCTAGGCTTCTTAATCATTCCGTTTCAGTAAACACAAGGAACAGGCCAAAGCAGCCAATGGAATCTGAAAAATGGTATTGATATACTTTAATGAATCACAACTTTCAGTCTCTTATTGGATTCATTTTTGTTTATTGTGTCACTACTGTCACATCTCATGTCATACCGCTTTTAGCTGATGATGAAATTGAAGCTACAAGAGTAATATATTCTTGAGCTTCTTTCTTTCAGATTAAAAAAAGAAAAATCTGTTCTTCTGAGCATTTAGGAAAATTGATGTCATCCAGAAACAAATTTGTAGGTCAGATTATGGCAACAATTCATCTGTGTTTCAGACTTCCAATTCCAGTGTGGAAGGCTGTACCTTCTCCCATAAGTGACGGTGCTGTGCAGGTCTCTTATCCTGTGTTACACAAAGTGGCACTGGAGCTGTGCTTAGGCATCTAAATTTTCCTCCTTGGCAGTCCTTTACTGCTCTTAAGAGCTGTTGGAAAAGTGTTGCTGGGAGCTTGGCCTACAACACCTTTATTGTTTGTGGAGGGTGTGTTACTGAGGAATCCACTGTCTGCAGGAGCTGTACTTAGGCTTTTTCTTTGAATTGAAAAAAAAACAAAACAAAAGAAAACACAACACCCACACACAAAACAAAGCAAAAAAACCCCAGAAACCATCAATGATCAAAAATAACCAAAGCCTTGTCTTTAGGGACTTGGGAAATTCCCTAATTTCCCCAATTTGGAGAGAAAAATGCTGTAACTGCTGGTGGTGCTGGATAGCAGTGGGGTGGGAATGGCTCTCTGGTGTTCAGCTACAACTCAGCAGAGCATCTTGACCCAGTGCAGCTCCTTCAGCGTGACACATCCTATTTTGGCTGTCTCCCCTCTCAGTGGTACCTGTGGTTTTGCACAGCTGGCTGCACACATGTCCTGTGGTTGTGTGACTCATGCTACAGCTGTTACTTGGAACTTTCCAGGCCTTGCTTACTTCCCACATGTTTTTCTCTATGAGTTGCTGTTACCTATTCAAGTGTACACCTCTGTTGGGCTTCTTTTTCATAGGGTAATAGAGGAATAATTAAATTTACCTTTTCCTTTTTTGTTAATGAAACAGGCAGGTCTGAGTCTTAAATCCAAAACAAACTAAAAAATTCAAAAGAAGCTTTATCTGAATAAAGTAGTGTCGTGTGGAAGACCCATTGTCAAGTTATGTTAAGGGAGAGCAAAATATGATTTCAGATTTTAGATAAGTGGTCATACTTTTAAGCCACATTGTGACATCTTATACAGATGGCAGTGGAGAGGCCACTTTTTAAGGGTTAATTTTTTTTTTATATTTTTCAGTAACTTGTTTTAAAGTACACAGAAATGTAGTGTGCTTCATAATACCTTTCATTTTACTTTTTAGTGTCTCAACAAATGAAGTGAATTCACCAGTGTCCCCATACAGCTGGCAGGTAAATATTTAAATGTAAATGTTGTGGCTTTATATTTGAGTGATTTTGTTGTTACTGTTTCCTTGATTTTGTTTCTATGGCAGAAAACTTTTATGCATTCATATGGTTGCTTATACACATAGTTCTTGAAAGTGTCTTAATTATGGTGGAAAATACAAACCCTTTGGAGATCTTATGCCTCAGTTTGACTTGTTTGTAATGGAGGCCTTTTGTTTTAAAAGCATGTGGTACCAGCTTTAAGGTCTTAAAACTAACAAGACATAAATTTTATTTTCTTGGGTTTAGTATGTCTTTCCATATAAAGGTATTGCCTCACCATAATGTTTAGTTTGATTTATAGATGCAACTTCTAGATGAGTTGAAGTTTTCATTTCCCATACCTCAATGAGAAGCTTGCATAATATGACAAAATTATAATTAAACTGTAGAGAGTGCCTTATTATTTTAATCTATTAGTTATCTACAATATGCCCTCATATTCTTGTAAGAAGAAACAGAAATGTGGTACCCTTAGGAAACAGTTCATTCAGATTGTCTACTTTCAGTTTCCATAAAGTAGACAGTCATATATATTTTTTATTATTTAAGAACCAATCTACTTTACCTGTCTCCTCAGTACATATTGTATAATATCGTACTTTAAAAGAGAGATTTCTCTTCTAGCTTGTGGGGGAGTATAATCTTTTAGATAGGAAAAGCCAACAAATACTCAAACTGTCTTCTTGTAGCCATTCTTTCTCTGTGTGATGAGTATCCACAGTGAGAAATAAGATGTGATAGTGGCTAACCACACTTGGAACTGGTGTATTTGTGGCAGCATTTGCCAGTTTCCTAACCTACCTACAAAATCAGTCTCAGTGCTGAAAAGTGTTATTTTCTGAAGAATTATTTCACAGATTCTTTTTCTTCTGTGAAATATATTTTAGAATTTGAAAAGAAATTAGTGGTTTCTACCAGAATCACCATTAAGACTGTTAAACATTCAGGTCATAAATCTAGATTGAGCCAGGCAGACAATTAACAATTGTAGTTCATAATAATTTGTGCTAATACATAAGAGGTATGTTTACATTTTACATGAAAGTGTTTCTGACCATTATAGCCACTGGAAAACCAGAAGGATTCAGTGGATGAGCAGCATTGGCCAGAAACACAGCCAGTAATCTGGCAGAATGAAGAAAGAAGGAGAAGTAAACAAATTAGAAAAGAGTATTTCAAGGTAATGGGGGAATGAGGGTGGGTGATGCTTTTGTTTTTAATGAGTAGAAGAAACTATAAAACCAAGTAAAGGTAAAGCCTCAAAGGTTGTGATGCTTTTAAATTTGCATGTAACATATAATTTTTTATTTGTCTCCTTTGATTAATATATATATGTATGTATTTAGGATAATTTGAGAGTGCGAAAAAATCAAGAGGAAAAAAATTGATCAACGATTTTGTTTATCCTTTAAATAAAAGAAAGTAATTCATTGTTTTCTGGGAAAAGCAAAAATCAATCCTATCATTGGTCCTTCACCATCTCTTTGGAGGGATTTTTATGTAGCTGTTTATGTACTTATTTTTAGTGCAAAGAAAATATACATTGCCTTTTTTTTTTTTTTAGCATGGTTCTAGGAATGATGTATGCCTTTTGGGTCTCATGGCATTAGTTTGCATTACAGAAGGAAAATTTTCAGTGTTCCCATGCTGCTGTAGTGTGCACCCGCAGTCAGCAGGTGCCAGTGTCTGCTTTCTGCAGAACAGAGGGGAATTTCTAGCAGCATTGGGTAACATTTGTTTTGGGCTATGCAGAGAAATGGAGGGTTCTTAGCAATGCTAGGTTGAATTAAAATTAAATTAATCACTTATGGAATTAGTTTCTTGGATCTATGCCATCAAATATCTTTGTGAAATGCCAGGGAACTTCAAAGAAATTAAATTCTTGGGAGATCAGAGCATGCCATACAGTTCAGATACATTGTTGTGATTATAGAAGCCTTTTTCTTTTTTTTTTTTTTTTCCCCTGGAGAGATTATGGGGTTGTATCCTCTTTCCAGGGTTTTCATCCTGAAATTAATTTTTTTGCTGTGGCATTGGAGGACAAAGAGAGAAAAGCTTCTGAAGTAAAACAGAATTCAATTGTTTGCCTAGTTAAAGAGCTGTGCTACCATTACAGAAGTGGTTCCTGGTAACTTACCAGTCAGTTGTGAGTTCTGTGGTGGAAGCAGATGCCTGAAGTCACATTCCAAACAGCTCTAGATGAGTCTCCTGAAGTGAATGAAACAGCCTGTACCAGTAACAAAATACACTGTTTCATAGCTCATTTGCAAAACCAAGGCAAAAAGCTGCTGAAACAGAGCCTGTCTGCCATGCCAAAGTAGGGGAAAAAAAAAAAAATAGGTACCAGTGCTCTTGTGAGAAACCAGTGCCAGTAGTTGTCCCTTGCTTATCCTGCATTTGTGTCATGTCATGAGGAGCAGTAACCTGGCCACATACACCCCACAGACTTAGACTTCTGTAGTGATGATCTCTTTAATTTGATCTACATGGGACTTTTCCTACTTTTTAGTACACTTGATCTGTATTTAAAAAATAAAATAACGCTTTTGTAAATTTTTTCCTTCAGTTCCTCTTTAATTTCCTCCACTTTTAGCATAATCAGGGAAGTGGGACAGTGATGAAGGCAACACACAACAAATCAGACAGACCTGTGGGAAAAGCATTGTCTTAAATACATAAAAGGATGTGATCAGACTTTGAAGTTTTAAAGGCAACCTTAATAATTTTTAATTTAATTTTTTACAATGTCAGGTCAGTTTCCTGATGTGTAGGCAGTCTTAGTCACATAAAATGTATTACAAAAGTAGCTTTCACAGGTTGCATAATTTTTTCTAAGAAATAATGCTTCATGTTAGCAGTTGTTAAGATCTTTTCACTTGGATCAGTTGTCACATGCAGAGTTCACATTATAAAAGTGTTTAGTTTTAAAATGCACTTCTCTCTTCAACTAATGAAGATCTTGTCTCACCTAGAAATGTCATGTTCTTTTCTGGTCTGTTTCTTTTTTGCTCCTTTTTTTCTGTAATATGGCTTGTTTTTCTCAGCAGCTTCATCAGTAATAAGTAACATCTGAGTGAAAGCAAGCCTTTTAGTTCAAATGAAAATCATGCTTTCATTTTAAAATAATAATTGTATGTGTTTTGCAGTATAAGTCTTCCAGGAAGAGTTCAAGTGGAAATGAAAATGATGAGGTGAGATGTAGTAATTGTGTGAAATATTAAGAAATATATTTCTTCTCTTGTCCTTTTTGAACAAATTAACTTTGCATTCCAAAGCCATAGCAGAAATAACTATTATACTTCTTTATTTGAAAAAAAAAAAAAAAAGATCATGATTACCTGCTGGGGAACAGTAGGACATTTGCTTGCTTTGGTAATAGCAAAATTAATTCACTTATCAAGCAGAGGTGATGTAAAACTAATATTTGACGTACACAGCGAATAGTGGTTCCTTAGCTTACATATTTTAAAATTTAGTTGCTGCCAGTTTGTAGCATACTTGACAAATGGTACATGTCTTGTGTGTTTCATAATTTCATGTTTATTGTTAAATCATCATTTTCATTTTTATAATTTCATCTCTTTGATTTCTTTTTAGCAAGACAGTGATAATACTAATGTGTCCCCACAGTCTCCTGTGTCGTCTGAGGTACAAGTTTGTGGGTTTGTTTTTCATTCAACAAACATTTCTTTGTGTTCATTGCTGTCACTGGGTTTTCATGAAGATATGAAGCTGTTAGTTTCCTTTGAAATTACAATTAGAAGTTATTTCATCATAATAAAAATTCAAAAAGAGGTAGAAACTAGAGACAGATACTACCACTTGTTTTACCTTTGCAACTCTGATCTCCCCTGGAGTTCAACTTTTTGGTTGGTGTGAGGAAAGGTATATTGCTTTGTCTCTATTATCTTTCCTGATGAAAATACTAATGAAACAAAAATCAGATTTGCCATATGTAATAGGCCTTCCTAAGGCAGACTGTTCTTCAAGGCACATAGTCACTGAGAGGATTTGAAGTTTATGGTCTAGTACTTTATACATGACCAGGAACCCAAAGGTGCTGACACTTCTCAAGGAGTTTCATCCTTCTCAATCCTGGGTGTCACCTTTGTGGTGCAGCCTTCCAGCTTCATTCAGGGGTGGCTGTGCATGGAGTGTCGCTGTGAGAGCACTGCACTGCTTAGCTCAAAATAAAGCAAATATTATTAACATTTCCACCTCGTGTCAGTAAGGAGCCCGAGAGAGCAGATTTAAAACATCTCACAAAATACACTGAAATGAAACAAGAGTATCTCATGTACATACCAAGATATTGAGTGTATTTCTTTTTTCAGATGGTGAAATGAGAAAAACCTGGTCTTCATAGTTGGAAGTAGATGCTTCTAAGAAATGTTTTGATGCTAAACATTGGGAAAATATTTGCATCTGCTTACAGCTGTCTTAAACTGTTTACAGAATGGTTTGCAGTGGTTTGAAATATTTCTTAGTAGATTTTAGATAATCTGGTGCTGCTTTTCTTTCTCATTATGACAGTTTTATCTGTATGTAGTAAGGTTATGTTAATTCCATTTATTTTATATTGTCCTCTTCAAAAGACTTTTACAGTTAAGCAGAAGGACTCTCCTTAGGCAATAATTTAAACAGTGTCTTGATGGGAACAAAAGTTATTTGTTCTAATGAGTGGAAGAAAACTGACTTCATCTCTTTCAACAGGATTATGAAAGGACAGATAGTAACACTCATGGTCCATTTGGTCTCAAACCAAGGTCAGGTAAGCTGCTGTTCTCTAACACAGTGTGTTTATTTCCCAGGCTGCAAGAGACAGTAAGCATAGCAGATGTCACAGTACAGCAGTTCACTCAATTTACTTATCACTGCATAGTACTGGGAAAGGCACAGACAGCTCTGCTTTGGCAAGTAAATAATTGGAAGCTTCTCAAGTTGCAGAGTGATTTGTTTGGGGTTTTTTTTTTGGGGGGGGTTGTTTACTTGAATTTTTTTTTCTTCCCACTCCTTTATTTTCTGCATACTTAGTCACTGTCAAGGAACAGGGAAATGGTACACAATTGTTATTGAGGTTTGAGGGCTCAAAGGCTTTATACTTGATTGAAAGTAAAACACAATTCAAGTAGTTTTTGAAGCTAGATTGAGATTCTTGAAGAAGTGCAGATGGAGTTGTATGTCCCTTACCGATACATCAATATTGAAGTCAGTTCAGTCTCCATATTTTCTAATTATTCATTTACACTTAAGTAAAATGATCTCTGCATTTTATTTGAAAGATGTTTCATAGGCATCATCTTTTCTTAAATATATTTGTTCTTAAAAGTTCCAGAGTTTTTTCCTATTTTTATCCTCACTTACAGATCTTTAGTTTTTGAATGTTCTTGATCTGAATTCTGCTGACTGGCTTCCCTCATGTTTGATAGCTTTCAGCCGTGCCTCACGCCAGGACTATGGTGCAGTGGATCCTGGGTTTACTATGAGGAGGAAAATGGAACATTTAAGGGAAGAAAGGGAGCAAATCAGACAGCTTCGCAGTGTAGGTACCATCATTCACTAAAATGGGTGCAGTGTGTTTAGTTTGTTCTGTACCACAATTTAAACTTTCATTTTAAAGGCTCCAAATTGTTGCAGTTGTACAAGCACATTCCTGTAGTGGTATTACTTCCTAAGGAATTTTATGGCAGCAGCCTGCACTGGTACATGTTTGGGTCCAACAAAAATATCAACTGGAAATTAGTTTGGGTTGTTTTCTTTCTAAAAAATAAAGAGAAATTAATTTTTTTCCTAAGGTTTTAAATTTTCCTAGGGACACAATAAATCTGCTTGTGTTTGGTATTGTTTGACCTGAGATCTGAAGAAAAATGATTATTGTTTTCTAAATGGCTAAATGCTTTTTGATTGTAGGAAGTTGCTACAAATGTTATAATACTGAATGGGATCTGCATTTCAGATTTCCAGTAAATTGTTTTTTGTGTAGTTCTGTTTTCAAGGCATTTAGCAGTTAGAGTTAACTAAATCATAGTTAACTCTAAAGAATTAAAATTTTCTAAAGAAAATCTGCTTTTCAGGGCAATGCTGATTTGTGGTGTCATTTCTATGAAGGACGTTTGTTTTGTCTGGTTCACTTCCTGAGAAGTGAAGTCTTGTTGGGGTGGGAAAAAATCATTGTTTGCATTCTCTGTTTTGCATGGGCCCTTGGCCACCCCAGCTTAACTTTCATCTGTACAAATGAAATAGCCTTTCCCACAGTTGTGTTCCCTTCTTTTTCTTTTCCTCCTTCTCATAAAATCCTGTATGGTTTCAATTCCCAGATTCTACACTGATGACATATTCAGCATAACATTTCTGTCCTTAAGTTCTGTGCTTTCCTGTTATGAGCAGTGAGTTTATTGTATGGGCTTGAGAGCTGTGTATTCTGGTCACTGTTGACAGAATGTCTTTCTCAATGTATGTTGTGTCATTTAAAAAAAACCCACATAATAACATAAAACACAAGAAAACCCCAACAATACAAACAAAAGGAACACAGAGACTATAAGGAGAAAAGGATGTTTATACTGAGTACAGTGTAAATTTATTCTGTTTATTTCACTTTAGTATTAAAATGTTCCTTTTAAACATCTACATGCTTTAAAATACCCTGGATTTAAAATGAAAAATCAGCTCATGTTGAGGGTAACTTACTTACGGCCTTTTTCCTAGAATCTTGAATCCAGGTTGAAGGTAATTTTGCCAGATGACATTGGAGCAGCGTTGATGGATGGGGTGGTTCTTTGCCATTTAGCCAATCATATAAGGCCACGTTCTGTTGCCAGCATTCACGTCCCATCGCCAGCAGTGGTAAGGCATAAATAATTTACCTCATTTTTGGTTCATCTTACATGAAAACAAGCTTTTGAATTTCAGTACTAAAACATTGTGACTCATATTTACCGCATTAATTTTCTACATTACTCACTTTGGTTTTTCTGTGAGAAGCACTAAATGAGGCTCAGAAGTTTAGTTTGAGCTACTTTTCTCATACTGAGTCTTCATAGAATGTGTCTTGTGTTTTAGTAACTGTAAGTGAATTTATATCAGAGGTATGCAGCACTCTTTCATAAATGTCTGATGAAGATCTAATATCCTGTCTTCACAGCCTAAACTCAGCATGGCAAAGTGCCGAAGAAATGTTGAAAACTTTCTTGATGCTTGTAAAAAATTGGGCGTTCCACAGGTACACTAATTGCTTTATTGATTTATTTATAACCACAGAAGATGTCAGCAGATAGTGAGTTTGGGGGGTTAGGGGAGCTTTATTTAGGGAGCAACAGTGATTATGACACTGACCAGAGAACTTGAAGATCTGAAGAGAAATTCCATTCCAGGCTTATGAAGTGAACTTGAGGAACTTCTTGGGTTTCTAGTCAGTTCTTAATAGTAAAATAACACTGTATAGCGCTTTTACTATACAGTGTATTTTACTTTTACTATAAAAGTTTTTACTTTTTAATAGTAAAAATAACACTGACCTCCTTGTAAAATATATTGTCATCTAAACAAAGGAATGGACTTGAGGGTGATGTTTTATTACTTGAAAGTCTTGAGTTTAGCAACTTGCTTGGCATGAATTCATGCCAAATGAATTGGCCTGGGAAACATCCTGCACTTACAGAAGTCTGTAGCCTGAATGATTAGCTGTCTTTTTTAGCATGGCTGTAGTCGCAGCCCATTACTTGTGCTGCTGCTGCCCAAGTTTATCCTCTTACCTCCTTTGATGAGGGGAAAAAACCTAAAAATTCAATTATTTCCTACATATTATGAGACAAAAAATTCCCTTGATCTTCTTTAGTGCAAGAAGAAAATTAGAAGATAGATTTAGAAGCTGGTTTACTGCTCTGCCATCGCTTGTGTCTCATGTGGAGCCACAGGCCATTCAGAAGCTAGAGGTGCTGATATTTACCTCATAAATTACTTGTAACACTAGCTGGCAGTTGGGAAGATTGTCCAGCTTGTGGTGAATTTTGAGACTGAATGATGACTTTCTTGGAGAGTGGTTTATTATTGAGTCTATCAGCACTTCTAAGTTATCCCAAGAGAAAGATTGGTAATAAGTCTGCACAACAGGGGAAGGGGGAAGAAGGCCACTGAGCCAACAGCACCCACCAGCTTGTTTTTCGTACTCTGCTTATGACAAAAAAGTTTTTACTTGATGAATTTAGCAGTCTTTTATGTATCTTCTGACATTGTTGTAGTTTAGCACTTTATACAGATTATAGCTATAACAAGTTTCTGCCCATTCTGTTGCTGTAGAGAGCCACACATGACATTTAATGCCAAAGGTCTTTTCTCTGCAAGTGTCTTCCTGATGTGTGTATGACTTCAGAGAATGTGTTTGTTACCTGCCCTGGGGACAAGACATGGAACTGGTTAAATGTCCTGTGTTCTTTTGCAGGAGAGACTTTGCTTGCCTCATCACATTCTGGAGGAAAGGGGTCTGGTGAAGGTTGGCCTCACAGTTCAAGCTCTGCTTGAGTTGCCTGCGTTGAAAGTATCTCAGCTTTCTTCTATGTGACACAACTTCTTGGCAGCTAGACAGCTTCCCATTTGCTCTGTTGATATGGATTGCTCTGAGGCACTTCAGCCTCCCACACAGGAACACCCAAGCCATCAAAAACTAAAATCTGTCCAGATGCTGTAGAGAGCCTTACTTTGGAGCTGTGTGTGAAAACCTTGGAGTCAGTTCAGAGTTAAAAGAACTTAACTATTCTTTCTTTTTTCTCTTGTAATTGGATGTATAAAGAGAATGTGGTAGCATCAGGTTCTCTTTCTAGTTAAGTTAAAAGCTGCCATTTAACATCTCAGTGTTAGAGTTAAATGCTGGATTTCTTTTTTTACATTGAAAATGTTTGAATTACTTTGGAAAGTACAAAGCACACCCCCCGTCACTTTAATTTTTTGAGTCAATAATTTGATTTAAAGATAAGACAAAAATGTAGCGATGGTATGATGGTAAAAATGTGAGCAACTGATCACTTGTAATCCCCTTTCACTCTCTGAAAGCTTAATATTTGCGTTTTTTTGTTTTTTGCACTCATGATTGTAACTTACGCACTTCTAACATTGCCAGTATTGAGTCTGAGTGTCTGGTGATTACACAGAACAGGATACAGTGAGAAAAGGACACAGTTTATTGAGTTTTTCCAGTCTTCTAGGTTGGTGCCAAATATTTTTTTTCAGTTTTACTGTAGATTGTTTACCTGTGAAGTGCCTGTGTAATTGATAATTCTTAATAGTCTTAAGCATTTTTGAAATTTATTTGTTTAAAATAGATAAAATGGAAATTTTTTAATATTTTAATAGTTTTTTTGTAAAATCAGTATGTGAAGATTTAAGTAATACTTCACATTTTTGATGTTGGGTGTTTTAAGTTTGTTGCACAATTTAATTGGTTATTTGTTGTCTAATAATTAGAAAATACTGTAAATACTTTTTATTTATGATATTTAATTTGATAATACCTAATTACTTTTGGTTTAATGTACTGTTGGACAAAAACAAAGTTGTCTACTTTTCTTTGTTTGGGACAAACAAATACACATGATGAATAAGACATGAGGACTAGTGATTCGTACAGAGTAATTTAGGACATTTTGATAAAACTGCCAAAATCTCAGGTTTACGCTGTGATGTTCAGGATTTTGTGTAATTGCTCCTGATCTCACATTACATTTTTACAACAGGTATATCCATAATTTAGCTGGAAGTATCAGTGTTTATCTTTTTAGTGTTTGCAGGGTTTATTGTGTAATTTACATGAGTGTGGCATTAGCACACGGGTCAGTTTGTACAAATGTCACTGTGCTGAGACATTAGATCAATTGATAAATGTGAAAACAAAACATTTCCACTGTGGTGGTTTTTTGAAACTCCCGAGTTCATTTATTTGCTTCTGCACAAATTCTTGGTGTTTTGAGAACATTTTGAAACCATACACAGTTGAGTTCTTCTCTAAACAAGTTGCAAATAATTTCATACTTTCGGTAGTAAATCTGTTTGTATTAGTTAGTTCCTCATGAATAGGTAGCTCAATTAAAAAAATGTTTTGACTGCCACAGATTTTCTATTTCAGGCTAAGTTATTTTCAGCTGAGGGATGTGTTTGCCAAGCGTGTGACAAGATTTGATTGGGTTCTTTCCAATTGATCAAGACCCCATGTAAGATAATTCATAAAATAATAAGGGAGGAGTACTGTCTATTCCTTCTACTGTAGTCCTTATAGGCAATAGCTGACAGGAAAAATAACTTTTTTCTGATGATAAGTTTAAAATTACCACTTATTTTTAAATCCATTGAAACGAGATAGTGTACATGAAATAGTTTAAATCCACTATTGTTCATATGGTGTTGTCTTAAAACACACCTTATGGAGAGGCTGGTGTATAAATTAATTTGCAAAGTCCTAGCTATAAATCTTAGGTTAGATAAATATGTGTTTAAGGAAACTGGATTGCTTTGACATTTGAAATATTGTATTTCAAATCTATCTCTAATTGGTTCTTGTATCTCTTCTTAATGGTTATTTTAACAACTTCCATCTCTATTTTCATTAAAGGCACTATCTGAAAAGTCATGCAAAAACTAATGAAAAAGCTATAATTCACTAAGCAAAATGCTTGCCTGCTGCATTTAAAAATCCAGCCACTCAAAAAGAATTAGTCCTTGTTTTTCATGTCACTGTTGTTGTTACTACCAGAGCAAAGTTCTAGTTCAGTCTTAGCCATGGAAGTGCTGACTATAAATTGTCACTTTCAGTTAGTGAAAGCTGATCTCCACTGCTATTTCACTGTCATATTTAAAAACATTTTCTGATCTTAAGGTAACATTTTTCCTTCTTGAACTAATTTTATTAAGTTACATCACAGTGTAAACATTAAGAATTCCCTTTGATGTAGCATGGCAGCTGCTGACTACTTAGGGGTTTTTCAAACTCCTTAGTAAGTTGAAAACTGGATATGAAACTTATGTACTCATTTTAAATTCAAAACTACTAAAACAACTTTTTTGGGTTTTTTAGTACTCTGCAGTTCTTCCCCACAGACTTGCCAGCAACAGTCTTGCTTTGCCATTCCTTGGAAATTATTGTGGCTCCCTTCTTGCTTATGGGAAGGATAATCATGATTCTTCCAAGGCTTCCCTTTTAGCATGGCAAAGATTAAAACCTTCAAGTACCCTTAGGAGCAGTCTGAGAAAAGATTGACTGTGCTTGGATGAATCTTTGTCTTCTCTAACTGGTTTTACAAATAATAATCTAAAGCTGTGCTAACATTGGCTTTGGTACCCATTGTGATTTTTTTAAGAGCAATTTCAAAAATTATGCTAAAAAGATTTGAATTTTAAGTTTTCCTATCCAAGTAGCCTGTGGAAATAGTTGTGTCTTCTCTGTACAAGAATTTGCATACTCTATTCCTTTCTCTCTTTCTTTTTGTTTCCCAGCATCTTACTTATTTTTGTTCATTCTCAGATCTGGTGATTGACGTTGTTGGTTACCTTGGGTCACTTTTTGCCTCCCTCTTTAATTTTTCCGAGAAATTGTTCTGTGGCACTGGTGAACTATTGTGATTCCAGAATCCCTGCTCCAGACGTTTCCAGGGTTTGAGATGCCCATTTTCCATTTTGTTTGGAATGTGATGCCATTACTTAGTACTTGATACAGCTGATGGGGTAGTTAAAAACAGAGGCCTGGTCAGTTCCTGTTGCACTTACTCCATTTTCACTTACAACATGAAGGGAGATGCATTAAGTTTTCCTAATAAACTTTGCAATAATGTGGCATGAACTGTAGATTAGAGTGAATCAGCATAGTGGCAGGGCTTCTGGCCTTGTGTATTTTTTGTGTTTTATGTCACTGGATACAGTATGTCACACATGACTGATCTTTCACTTGAGCAATAATGTCCCAGCTATGGTGAGGTCTTAAAGCAGTGACAGGAAAATAATTGTTGTGAACTGTAGTGTCTTCCCAGAGAGTTCTCAGAAATGCTTTACATCTGTTCTCCAGCACTGCTAATCCAGTGTGCTCACTAGGACACTGCCAGGGATGCAGAAACCACCCAGACCGCTGCAGCTGGAGGCCTTTCAAAATCTAACCAAGAACTATGAGCATAAAATAGGGAGAAATTAATTTGAAACAGTAAACAACTGACATCGATCATACGATTTTTTTTTTTTAATTTTTTTTTTAATCCTAGCCTTTACTGAAGTCAAGGCAAGTTTTACCTTTGACTTCAGTAGATTCTTGCCTTTTTGATTTGTGGGACACCTGAGCTGGAGACCATAGCAAATGTGACTTGTTTGACACTAGCAAACGTAAGTGTCAGATTCTTGACTAAAATAGTGACCTCTGGTAAGTCAAATGAAGTTGTAAAATGTAAAATGTGGATTCATTTAATAAAAATCTTCTGATAAGCAAACAGTATTTAGATGGTAGGAAAAATTACATTGAAGTGAGGTGAGAAGGTGTGTTACCTCAATAAAATTGTAGGTGAGGACAACCGTTAGGTTTTTACTGCGCTAAAAACTGTATTTCAAATACCAAATCATTTAGTGGTAGTCTCCTCAGATTTTGACATAAATCTGTAGCCAAATCCAAACAAAAATGAAGACATCTGCTTTCACTAAAATGGAACTTTCATATGTCATGTTGGTACTGAAGAGAAGGATGAAGGTCTGGCACTTCTTCCTTTTGCTGATTCCTTAAATGTTTATTTGAAAGGCTGATTCCACTGATTTCAACTGAAAGCAACCTTGTGGGAGTTTTTTCTGCAGACAGGAGATGTGGTTTGGTATTGGCAAGTCAAATGTCACTTTTCTCTCACCAAGTCAGGCTAATGTCTGTGTTTCTGTTAGAGGATCTCTACTCGGAAAGCAAAACCAAATAAACACACCCCAACACACACAAATTTGGAATTAAAAACCTGTCATTAAGACCAGCAGTGGGAAAGGCGATGTAGCCTTGCCCAAGCAGAGAGTGCTCTGAGTTGATTTCACATTGAATCGCTTCACCAGGAAAAGCCTTCAGTCTTAGTAAAGAAAGGTGTGTTTTGTAGCTGAGGGATGAGGATTCTTGAGTGCATGGAGCTTCCAGTAGAGTTTAGAACAAGGAGGAATTTGCCATCTCTGTTTCCAGAGCCCGTTTGGTTTGGACAGCTGTGTCCCAGTGCTGCAGGAAGCACGGCCTTGCAGGGAGCACTGCCCGTGCCCAGCCCTGGGCAGGGGACCTGCCGTGTGCCACTCGTGGTCCCCTGCCTTTGTGCCAGTGACACCTGTGCAGGACAACTGCTGGCAGAAACACCTCCTTGCTCTTAAAGAGATGCTGCAACCTGAGCAGAACCACCAAAGGATAATTTGAGAGTGTTCAATAATAGATACTCACCAATACTTAACTTCCAACAGCAGTGGGTGGTGTAGTGAGGCAGAGGAAGCTTTTGCTCTGGGAACTACTGACCTTTTCTGACTGAAAATTGCACCGTGGCTCTGAACTGATTAATGTGGCCCTCGAGCACTTCCATGGGGGAATGCAAAGAGTGTTGCTGGGTTTGTTCCATATGCAACACACTGGGTCATGTGTAATTCATTTACAGACAGAGGGAAAAGTGAACTGTCTATTCTTAATGAGCAGTGTTATGGTACAGGTTTGTTTTGTAAAATATGAAGATAATTTTTTTTTTTTCCTGTGAAGAAAAATTCTGCTGATCTTCACTGCTTAAAGAGAGAATATATGTGATTAATTGGATTTCAGTTTATACTTCCCACTGCACAGGAGAAGTTCTGTGTTTGTTACATAATAAAATGCCCTTTTCTTTATTTGTCTTTAAATATTTAACATGGTACAATTTTGGCAACATATCTTAAAATTGTACTTACATGAAGAGTTTGTTCCCTCATTGGGTTTGATCATTATTTTTTCAGCATGAGAGGCAAAGGGCAGCAAAATTGCTGCAAGCTACTTGGTCAGTTTCTAGGGAAGGAATACCAGTTATCATAAAATGACATCTAATAAATCATTTTTAGTTCAAATTATAGATAGCAAATTGCATTTTCAAAAAAGAATATTCAGAATTTTTTTTACATTTTAGAATCCTAAACTTAAGCAAAAACCAAAAATTTTTTCCATGGCTACTCTAGTATCTTAGGAAATTCTAAAGGAAAAGAATAGCTCAGACTGACAGGAAATATAATTGTTTTGGAAAAGTTTTGATATTGGCAGTGTTGAATTTTTAATTGAATTTGATCCATTTAAAATCTTTTGCAACCTAAATAAGTCTATGATTGTAAGGTTTCAGTGAGACCAGATTTTCCCTCCAGAGTTTTGTAACTCAGTTGCTACATAAACTCAGTCATTTAAAGTAAATTCTTGGCACTAAGGAGGGTTTCCTCACTTCATTCAAAGTTACAGGAAATAAGGCAAACATAACTTCTTCCATCATAGTTTTATGAAGTCAGATTGTAAAACAGAGAGTATTTGGAAATGCCACAAGGATACTTTTTTGCTTTGTTTCATTTTAAAATGAGTGAACCAGTGAAATACTTCCAAAATTACTGCATTTGCGTAGGGTTTGGTTGTGCCATCCCAGGCACGGGAACTTGCAGTGAGTGTTCAGTATTGATACACATGCTGAAGCTGTGCAGGACTGTGCTCTTCTCATGGAGCTGTTGATGCAGCTGTGTTTGCTGAAGGGATGTGGTACCTGAAGCATTCCTGCAGCCGTGGGAGTTCCTGCCTGCGGCTGCTCTTGGCACCAGCAGCAAGGCAAGGCTGAGATTCCCAAGAGGAGCACACACAGATGTAGTGAAAAAGGGTGGGTTGGTGGAATACATTGGGAGTCATGTGAATACTTTTTACTGTTACGGAATGTCTAGAACAATGAAAATGTGCTTTACTATTATCATTCAGTTGGTATTCAGTTATTTTATTTTGTAACTTGTGGTTATAAAACTCAGAAGATGCCATGTAACCAAATGGTCAACATGTAAATGTGTGCAGAATGTGGCAAAAGTAGTTCTGAGGGCACAGCAGGAGAATGATCATTAAAAATAGATGCTCAAATTGTGTATATACTTGCAAAATTTTTGATAGTGCATTTCAATTGATTTTGCATTTCATATTCTTGTAAAGTGCATCTTTCATACTTTTGAAGATTGTCTGCTTGTACTATACTGTATTAAGCCTTTTTTCAGGATTTCCATTATTGCTGGAGCTTCCAACATACATGTTTATTTCGAAAAATGTTCCTACTGTTGTTTTTTTTTTTTTTTTGTAAATAGTGTTTTGTATTAAATTTGCATGGATAAAACCTACATTTCCAAAACCATTGTACATACACTATGTATAAAATACAAACTGTTTCATAATTTTCATGTAGTCAAGTTACTCGGTTTGATTTCATTTCAGTTTATATATTTGTAGTAAATAATGAGAATTTGTTGTATGTTCTCTCAAATGTCTGTGTTGTCATTTTGATAGATAAGTGACTGCCTCATTATGTCAGGAAATACATCCTCTGACAAAAGAAAAGCTAACTCCTGGTTCAGGGAAGTAGGACACACCCACATATGAAGTATGTTGGGATTTCAGTTTTGACCAACAGTGGTGAGAATATATGAGGATCAAGATGCCCTCACTTGTAGCAATCTTTATACATTTCAACACTTCCCTGTGAGAACTGTGTCTTCTTGCATATATATTTGGAGCACCATAGATTTTTGAGTCTTGCTAATGATAACATTAAACCAGCACAGAAATTCCTCCTGACAGAGGTGATCTGTTTCACTTCTGTTCCCTGGGCTGTGTCTGGCAATAGCACAGATAATGTGTGCTTTGCAGTCATCAGTTGCTTGATCCAGCATTGGGGAGCACAACTGCCACGTTTTGGAGCTGTTGTTAAATTGGGTTATTTAGATGTAGGTTAATAGAGTGTTTATATGACCAAGTTTTTTACCTTAATTTCTTTTAGATTATTTAAAAATGTAGACAATTTTAGTCTTAGACCTGACTATTGAAAACAACTCTCTTTTGAGAGGTATTTTTTCCTGAGAGACCTTGTTCTGCACGTGCACACACCCAGCTGCTTTTGTTTTCTGCTGAGGCACATTTGAGGACTGTAAAGCAGAAACTGAGGAACAGAGTTCCAAAGGAAGTGAACACCATTCCTTGACAAAAGCATCTCAGCAGCTGGAATTTTTTTTTTTTGTAGTTGCCAGTGAGGGGTTTATAGTTAAAATATTCTGTGAGTCTGTTGTTCATTTTTCATCTCTGAAGAAAACTTTCCTCTTATGAAAAGGCTTTTTGGCTGTTTGAGGGCAATGATACCACGTTCAGAAGCCTCTGTTCCAAGCTGAACCCCATGAAATTCGGGAATGAGGAGGAGCAGCCTGGAGAAAAGGAGGCTCAGGGGGGACATTATCACTCTACAGCTCCACGAGGGGAGGGTGGAGCCAGGACCAAGCTGGGGATTGGTCTCTTCCCCCAGGGAAGGAGCAGGAGAGGGAACAGCCTTAAGTTGTGCTAGGGGAGGGTTAGATTGAATATTAGGAAAAATTTCTTCTCTGAAAGGGTGGTCAAGCTTTGGAACAGGCTGCCCAAGGCACTGGAGGGATCACCATACCTGGAAGTGGGCAAAAGCTGTGTGGATGTGGCACTGGGAAAAGGGTTTCATGGTGAACCCAGTGGTGCTGGGCTAATGGTTGAACTCAGCAGTCTCAGGAGTCTTTTCCAACCTTAATGGTTGTATGATTCTAAGATGAAAATTAACTCTGTCCCTGTTGAAACCAAGACAATGACATACTACCATTTTTATCTCCCATAAAACTGTCAAGAGTTAAATTTCCTACTCTTCAGCAGTCCAAAGATGTTTGCTTTCTCTCCTAATGCATTTCCAGATCTTTTTCTTCTCCACAGCCAGTGGAGGCTGAAATCCTTTTGCAGCTTGAGTGAGAAATCCTGATATCTTCAGTGTAAATATTAATTTGTGTTAATAAGAATATGACATTCCAGATAGGTATAAATCCATGGCTGTTGTTCATTGCATTCACTCCCTTTTGATCTCCAAAATCTCCAGCTCTCAGAAAGAGGAGGGCAAAGCAACAGCCAACGCTGTATTTCCTAGCAGAAGCTTCCAAGTGCATGAACTTCTGAAGAATACTTAAAAAGACAAACCCCTCCCTGTATTCTCCAGGCCCTAAGAAACAGAAGCAAAAGAAAATGGGATTATCTGTGAAAACTCTCAGAGGACT